TTTTGAGTATAATTTGTATTTAGATATGAAAGTTGAAGTCTAAATAGTGTTTTCTGTCCCAACATTCTGTTGAAATAATTTAACTTCTGAATACTTTCTAAAATATTTTAGATTTTTATAATTCTGCTTATTTTACAATTTGAAAGTGATTTGACTCCATAAAGATTCATCCCAAAACCAGTCTCTGTGTTAGTACAAATGGACTGAATTGGGCTTAGAAGAAAGGATTCTGTAAACATTCATTAAGGACTTGGCATATGCAAGGAACTGTCCTAGGTGTTGAGAATACAAAGATGAGCAGGACAGGAACACCGACAGGATAGGCAGACTGCAAAGTGCTTTGAAACATTAAAGCAGGAACAGCAAGAAGTTCTTCTGGATAATCAGAGAAGACATTAAGCAAGAGTTGTCACCTTAACTGGGTTTTAAGATGAAGTAAAAAGGGTCTGCTAATATGGTTAACCTTCACCTGAAGTGAAGTACAGTTTGCTCACAAAAATTTAAACATACTGTTGTTGCCAAGGAAAAGTAATTTCACTTATGATACTTTTTTTTCAAAAAACCGTGATGGATTTAATTATTTCTACTTATTCCCACCCGATACCACAAATTTAATTCCATCACTGGGTCATCCAAGAAATTTACAGCCAGCTCACTGATGAGTGAAATTCTGGGCACAGGAGAAACACAAAAGTCAAAAATACTAGAAAAAATTTATATGGGATGAAGTCAGTAAAATAGTGGTGTTTAACAATGGCATGGCAAATATGTTTTTTTAAGGCAATTGGGATTAAGTGACTTGCCCAAGGTCACACAGCTAGTAAGTAAGTGTCAAGTGTTTGGTCTAAGGCTGGATTTAAACTCGGTTCCTCCTGACTTCGGGGCTGGTGCTCTATACGCTGCACCACCTAGCTGCCCCTGCAAATATGTTTTAGGGATCAAGAAGATCCTGTTGGCCAATGAAATAAATAAAAATTCATCTTTTCATTGGACAGTTATCTTTTAATTGAGATAAGGATAAAAATAATTTGCATCATTAAATGCAGAAGCAGAATAGATATGACATCTGGAGAGGAGGCATGTAGAGCAAGTTAGGCTCAGTCCTTGCTTCTGAGTAATGTATTCTTTTTTTATTGGATGAGGAAATTTCAAGGTTTCATAAATTAAGTCTAAGTAGATTAAATGCTGAGGCTATGACAACTCAAGAGATTTTGGAAGGGCATTATAGTAAAATACCAGCCATCCTTAAATCTTAGTGTATAAATCTTGCTTTTCCATTAAATGTCAAACTAAAAGCCTTTAGCATGAAAAGCAGTATCAAGTAATGTCCTGCACGTTTCACTAGTATATCCCTTTTGATCTAGGTACTAGGTAAAGGGAAGAAGCTTTTTATGTAAATGAATTCAATAGAAACAGTTTAAAGGTTATTAAGTCTGGTACAAGAAATAGCTTAGCCCACTTGTTACCTGCAGCAATGCATTAGAAAGATTCCTCTGAAACCTATATTAACATTGTAATTTGCTGGGATACCAAAAAAAGAAACTATAAAGTCTTATTAGTTCCTTAGCTGGTTCTCATGGCTATATTGTTTTCCTTAGAAACATACTAAAATCTATCTCAAGACAAAAAAGCATGCCATTTTAAGAGCAAAGCTTTGGTGAGGAGAGTGGGACAGAACACAAGTGATTCAAAATATATGTTCTCCATAATAAAAGTTATTAAATAATGGAAGAAATACTCAAAAACTATGAACCTGCTTGAATTAAATAAAATGAATTTTCATTATATTTTTCTTTATAACTGAAGAATGTGGCAGTGTTCATCTGCAGGAATCATCAAGTGTTAAGATTGAAGTTTTTCTTTCATAGCATTGAGCACTTCGACATCCTTATCATCAATGAACCATCAATATATGACAAGATCCGCAAGTACAAGTACCATTGACACTGATTTAAAGGCTTGACAGTTGTTGCATGAGTTTTAATAGAATGTGTGAGGAATTTGTTGATGTTCAACAAAGTTAAGTTTGGCATTTTGTCTGATGTTTGAAAATTTCTCCATCTTCTGTAACCTTGTGATTCGATGAAAAAAATATTTTCAAATTTTTGGAAACCTCCATTGATTGGAATGTTGGGTAAGGAAAAAAAAATCAAGATCCTGGGGATGGGATACAAACACATTCTGTTGGAAGAAATAACATATGCATGAGGAAATATAGTGCAGGGAAAACAACGCTGACAGGAGTCAGAGGACCTGCCACTGCCTGTTACCTGTGTGACCACAGCCAACTCGCCCTCCTTGGGACTATGGGTAATGAAGGGGTTTGGACTAGATAGCCTCAGGGGACTTTTCCCACTGACGGTTCTGTGTACTGTAGTAGGTACTGGTACCCTGGCAGGATCAGGAAAGGCTTTATGTAAGAGGTAGCACTTGAGATGATGTTTGAGGGGAAATAGGGTTAGGGAATATGTCAGGTATGGAGATAGAGGCAGTGTTGTGTAGAAGGAACAGCAAGAGGGCCAGTTGCTAAGGGATAGCCAATGGGAAATGTGCCAAAGGTAGACTGAAATGGTTTTCATGCCAAACAGATTATGTTTTGTCTTGGAGGCAATAAGGAGCTCCCAAAGCTTTCTTCCATCTATTTGTGAAATAGCAATTAATAAAAAATGATGGCAATCTGTGGTGTTAGAGTCATAGCTGAAAACATGAAAGGTTGAAATTGAAACAGCCCATGTGCAATTTCATGGAATGTTTTTGAAGCTTTTTTCCTTCAGGTTCTTTCCTTGTGGACAGATTGGCTGCCAGCTGCACTACTCTCACCATAAGCAGAAGTCCAGATTCACTGAATACATGTTTTTATGACCCAGACCAAACAGGGAGAGAGCTATCAAAAGTCAGTGATCTACAGGGCTAAAGAGGCTCAGGAAAAACTAAAATGAGATGAGTTTGTTGTTTTTTTCCCCCAGAGTCTTTCTCAATGTGTTTTGGTCATTCACAAAGATGAAGTGCTGAGAAATAAGTATTTTTATATTCACGTATGAACAGTTTGTCTATAGCTTACCACCTTTGTCATTAGAGATACCTTCCAACTCTACAACTTTACTATGCAGAAACCCACAGGTCATAAGTAATAGCTTTTCATCTTCACAACGGCAGCACCGTTGAGGATAAGGGGCTGGCTTCTCTCTGAAAGCATTTTCCTCAGCTAAAGGAATGGCTCACTTTTTGCATGGAAAAGAGGAATAAAGTCCTGCTTGCTCCTCTCCAGTCCTTCCTGCTCCCTGGCTCAAGCTGGCTGGTTAGAAATATTACTTTAGGGAAGGGAATCCATTTGCCCCAAAATGTGATTCTCCTTCTGTCCCAAACTCAACTCGTTTTCATTTTATCTGTATGATTGTAGGAGACTGACCACCACAGACAATATGGAAATACATTGTGATCTAGAGAGACAGGATTTGGGGAATAAAGCATACACTGCTCTTTGCTACAAATTTTGTCCCCTTACCCTATACACACATATTGCCTATAAATTGCTGGGAACCTGAGCCACTGTGAACAGGGCATTATCAGCTAATGCTGCTTTCTCTCTGTAATCAGAATTGGTGGGAGGGGCTGGAAAGGTGTGGGAAGATAGGTATCAGTCTGAGAAGCATTTCGTGGTAAAGACAAAAACTCGTTTTTTATTTTATTCATTTCTAGAACATCTCCTTCAAATTGTGACAATATCCTTCATTTCCAAAATTGATCATGCCAATTTCCATTGGATTATAAAGCAACATAACTGGAAAAAATCAGAAAAGATTGAATGTTTGGAGAGGGAAATGGTTTTCTTATAAACTGTAGAATTTTATTTCTGCACTGTGTAAACTGGAAGCACTAACTCACATTTGATCTAGCAGAGTAGATGCTTTGTTTTAAAGCAAACAATTTCCATCAGTCCATCATCATTCAGATTTCATAAAAGAAGGACTCGGGAATGAGGAAGCTTCAAGGACTGCTAAGCAATCCGTTTTGCTTCATTGTGTACTCCCTCCCTATAAGGTAGGATGAGTTCCTCTAGATTGTTTTAAAAAACTAAAGTTTGTGCTATAAAAGGAAAAAAGTAATATTGCTCTTAGTGTGCTTTCTATTTCTTCTGCCCTCCTCTGCCCAGATAATAGTGCCTCCCTTCCCCACCCCATCCACTCAAAATACTCTGGACTTGGAAGTATGAGAATGCTGTGAGACAGACTCAGTTGTGCTTGTGGTCATGGCATGAATGGTGGCAAGGTTAGGAATGGAAGCCAATAGAAAATGGCATTAAATGACACCATTAGCCATTTGTAGAAATAGCCCACCTTTAATGGCTTTTTTAGACTTTTGTCTCCCCAGATAATCTGTCAGTGAGATGACTGAAATGTATCTCAATACTGGGAGAATTTGCTGCCACAAAAAGAGCTGCTATAAATATTTTTGTACATGTGGGTCCCTTTCCTACTTTTATGATCTCTGGGATACAGCCCTAGGAGTGCTATTTTTTTACTTTTTATTTTTTTTCCCTAGGAGTGCTATTGCTGGGTCAAAGGATATGCACAATTTCCCATATCCATGAAAGAATGCCTAGGACAACTTCCCTGACAAGTGCGTATCCAGACTTTGCTGCAGGTTCCTCAGTAACAGGGATACTAATTTAGGCCCAAGGCAATGCATTCTACTTAGAGGCAGCTGCTTTTAGCAATCTTTTCCTTGTATCAAAGCCTAAACTTTGCCACCTCAAAACTTCTTCCCTTAGACTAAGGTTAATGGAGCATCAACATCATATAGGCTAGTTAACTAGCCTGTATACATACATAACATACAGCTAGCATTTAACACAGCTCCTTTGATGGAAAATCTAATGTTTCCTCCACTTACATCAAGGTCTTCTCTGTGACTCAAAAGCAAATGAAATTAATTTAAATAGAGCAAAACTGAGATGCAGAAATTATATAACAAGTAAAAATTTATTAAAAATATCAAAATTTCTGAACACAAAACATTTTATTAAAAAAACTATTACGTTTATTTTCAAATTGTTCTTCACATTTTACTACAATCCACCTCAGAGCTACTTCTCAAGTCACCCTATAATAGGTTGTAGTTTTCTTTTTATGCAGAAATAGAATATGTAGGTAGGAAAGGATGATGTCACACACCAGAAGGAGCTGGATTCTTATGAATACAACCAGGACAGCAATGCAGAGAATCGTGAATGAACAAGTCACAGTCCACACAGAATACATTTTGGCACACAGTGCAAATATAAACCTGTGATAGGGAGTGGAAGGAGGGGCAGAGAGAGAAAAATAGTTAAAACTAATTTTCAAATGTTAAGTCTTAACACAAGATTTTAAGAGATACATTATGCAGGTATCAGTAAGAGGCACTTTTAGAAGTGACTTTAGGGCATTAGTTATTTCACTCTTTTTATTTATTAATCCTCCCCCTATTTAACTCATTCATTTTATAACAGTGATAGTTGCATGTTTTGCAATGATGAAACAAAACTTTCAGAATTCTTGCCGTAAAATATTTTACAACGATTTTTAAAAAATGTTTCCTATTAAAATGGTAACAAATAAAATAAGGCTGATTTTTTAAAAAATTTAAATAAACCTTATGCTTTCAAATCAATTTTATCCCAAAACTATTACCAAAATGTACTCAGTGATGGGAATTGTTTGTTGTCAATAAGTGTTTTATAATCGGGAGCAATACTGACTGCAATAACTCATCCAGAAAGCACTATACAATAATTTTCATTTCCTCTTTTACTTACAAGCCAGTATTTTGCAATTAGATGCTAGTTTTGAGTTCAGAAAAGGACCGTTTCAGCTAATCACATTTTCACTTTAAAAATGAGTATCTTGGGGCAGCGAGGTGGCACAGTGGATAAAGCTCCAGCCTTGGAGTCAAAAGGACCTGAGTTCAAATGTGACCTTACTAGCTGTGTGACCTGGGCAAGTTACTTAACTCTGATTGCCTCACCAAATTAAAAAAAAATGAGTATTTTGTCTCTCTCTCTCTCTCTCTCTCTCTCCCCCTGCTTCTGTGCAGAGGTAGGTTAATGTGGATGTGGAACACTGAATAGAATGTTAGCATTTTCATTATATGTTGATTTTGCTAAACTTTCTTCATCTCTTTTTTATTCTTTATTATAAGGGATGGCTCTCTAGGAGGGGGATACAGTGGGAATTTAGATATAAAAAAAGATCAATAAAAATTATTTTTAAAAAAATGAGTGTCTTGTTTCTAAATTCAGTGTTTATTATATTTACCCCTTTTTTGGCAGAGAGGCAGGGGACCACAGGGGCAGAACATTACATACAATGTCAGACTGAATTACTGTATTGACTATTTTTGCTTAAATATTTTTCTGTTACAAGGGAAAGGATAAGAATGAGTGAGGTACAAATAAGAATAACAAATAATAAAGCTTACAAACATAAATTCAGTGTGTGTTTTCTGCAGTTATGTTTATTTAGTAAATTGGCTTTGAAATTTTGTCCAAACCATGAAACCATTTTTCCAGATTTGATAACAGTATAAACTAAAAATCAAGACCACTCATGTGAACCTAAATTAGTGATCACTGCTGTCATATTTGTTTCTTAAATAATTAGATTCATACATGTTTGTTTAAACACCAAAGTTTTTATTGTGAAAACATTTTTCTGTTCCCCTCAAGCTAACTATATAATGTGTGTGTGTGTGCGTGTGTATATATATCCCTCTCCAATTTTGTCCAATTATCCAAAATGAAAATTAGTACAAAAAATGTTATAGCCAAAAAAAAATCTAAGACTACAAATACACTTATTATTTCATAAGGACTTTGCCAAGACAGACTGACAAACTATAATGCTTTCTACAATAATAGGTATATTCATTCAATGAATGAATCTATATCACTAAGAAAACCAACTCTGCAGTCATGTGATTGATTTTTACCAATCTCTGATGGCAGCCCATATCAGATAACCTCATCCACTGTACTTGGCTGACACAGAGCAAAAAGGACGGTTAGGTTAGACATTCTTATCTGCTACTAGTATATTTTTCTCTGGGGGCCCTTAGATTACTTCACAGAACCTCAGAATTTTAAAGCACATAGTCTGAATAGCACTGGGGAATACTATTAATTAAACTCCTCTATTTATAACTTTAAATAATTTTATAATAGAGTCCTAATACGTAATATAGAGTAGAGACTTAAATCTTACAAATTAAATACAAAGGAAACTTATTATACAAATTACTTAATAGCATAATTAGAAAATACTGGCAGTGTAAATTCAAGACAATTAAACATTTATGAGACAACTTATGAAATTTTAGTGTCATCGTTAAAAAGTAACTAAAGAATTCTACCACACTAAGTAGCCAAATGTCATGCAAGGAAAGCTCACTGAACTTTCAAAAGTAATAAACTTTTTACTTTCTTCATCTTCTTCCTGGTGCCACTCTGAACTGACATAATAAATAGAAAGCCCAGATATGAGTCTACTCTTATAAAAATGATCAGGCATTACTTCAGGAGAAATGTGGAGAAATAGCTAGAGAGCCTTCAGTGAGAGTTTAACCTCTGAACTCTCTGTCTCCTAATTATGACCTGACATATGCTGAGGAATGAATGATTAGCTATGGGAGCTAGCTGGATTGCAGTCTGGCCCTTAAGCACTTCTTTATCCTTTGAAAGTTTTCCTAGTACTCTTCCTAAAAGAAGCATTAAAGATTTCTTGGTAATTACAAACCAAGTAAACTTACATGTTGGTCTTTTAATTCCCCTAGGCATCCCTGACAAAATCTGGGGGAGAAAAAAAAAGAAATATTCTTAACTACTTTTTAAAAATAGAATTACCTCTAAAAAGACATTTTCTACTAAGTTCCATTAAAGAAAAATTCTAAACACTGAAAATAGTGCCAGAAAAATACAATAAATTATAATAAACTGAGATCCTCAATTAACCAGATTTTGTTGCACTTCACTTTTAGAATAAAGACATAACTCACACATTAGGGTCAGTCAACAAAGGAAAACAAAGGCATTTATATTGTTCTTTAAGGTTTGCAAAATGCTTCATAAATATATCATTTTATTCTTGCAACAACAGTTGAATGCTATTATTATCCCCATTTTCCGAATGAGAAAACCGAGACAAGATAAGTGATTTGCCCAGGGTCACCCAGCTATTAAATGTTTGTGGTGAGATTTGAACTCCAGTCTTTGACTCCAGGTCCAATGCTATCTAGTAAACCCCCTAATGGTCTCTATAATCAATTCACCCAGTCAATCAAGCCATAAGAATTATTTAGTATGCACTGTATGCCAGGTACTATGCAAGGACCTAGGAGTACAAAGACAAAAGAAAAATAGCTTCTGCCCTTAAGAAGCTCACATTCTGACACAGGAATCAAGAATATATATACAAAAGACAAACAAAAGAGAAGAAGCAAGGTGTCTAGTGAAAAGAAATAGTAAACAGAGGGAGGGCATGCACACATAAAGGAGCTGGAGTCCGAGCTGGGCCTTGAGGGGAGGCCAGGAATTCTAAGAGATGGAGGGAGGAAGGAGTGTGTTCCAGGCACAGGTGACAGTCAGTACAAAGACACAGAAAAGAGAGACGGTGCAGTAGTGGTGAGGCACAGAAAAAAGGCCAATCTGACTAGGCTGTAGAGTGCATTTCACATGTAATCAAGGCTACAAAGTTATGCTAGGGCTGAGTTGTAAAGGAAAGTCTTACATGCCAAGCAGCAGGAACTTATATTTGATTCTAGAGGTAAGAGGGTGTGACTGAAATTCTTTGATTCACTCATTCAATCAAAAAAGTCTCCAGGAGTACCAGTGTTACCACAAGAAAAGAAGTACAGCAGTAACAGTGTAGGGAAAGGAAGAAAGGCAGGCGATGCTGAAAATCAGCCTAAGAAAGGCACCAGTTCTTTTTCCACTAACATGCCCTATGGGCAGTACATAGAAAGTAGAGAGAGCCACCATGTCTGGGCCTGGATTTGGAAGGATTAGAACAACTTGACTCTTACTAGGCTAAGAATTTCCTGTACTAGCTACAAATGGTTCTTATCTAAACTTTGTACTTTCCCAGAACATTGCATAGTATCCTGTACACAGCAGGTGCTTAACAAATATTTAATTGTTTAACTGAAATCTTACCTATTCTTTAAAGCAGAACCTCTACTAACCAGCACTTGAATTCTTTTAGTTCATTCTATAGACATTTCTGAAAATAATAAAGCTAAGTTTCTTTTAAGATACTCTCAAATTGGGGCAGTGAGGTGGCGCAGTAGATAGAATACTGGCCCTAGAGTCAGGAAGACCTGACTTCAAATCCAGCCTCAGACATCTGACACTAGCTGTGTGACCCTGGGCAAGTCACTTAACCCCACTGCCTAGCTAAAAAAAAAAACAACTCTCAAGTTCAGACTGACATTCCACATAGTTAGTCAAAATATTGGGTTTTTAACCACAAAGTCATAAAATGTAGTATGGAAAGACACAACAGCGACATTGTCATGACTTTGATATATCCTGGAAGACCAGACTTGGCAATTGCTATATTCGAATTCTACAAGACTCGTATTACAGCAGTATTCCAAAAGGGATAGTATACATTTATTCAGAATTTTATGGTACACAAAGCCCTGCCCCATGCAACCTGGTTAGATAATTAGTGCAACTGTTATCTTTATTTAGTAAAAGTAGAAGCTTGGAGAAAGAAGGTGACTTGCCCAGAGTCACAGTGTCTCTGTCTCTGTCTGTGTCTCTGTCTCTCTCTCTCTCTCTCTCTCTCACACACACACACACACACACACACACACACACACACGTGTAACAGCTCAAAGGTTTCCTCACTAAAAGACAAGTCTTCATTTCACCACACTACTTGGTCATCACATCAGAACTGGGACACAGAAAGGCTCCTGAGAACATCTGGTCCAATTCTCTCTTTGTACAGATGAGGAAAATGAAACCCAAAGAGGTTAAATAATATGCCCAAGGTCAACCAGGACTTGAATTCCTATCCTTCTGATCAAATCCAGCATTCTTTCCACTGGACTACATCCTGTTCCCGCAGCATCTTATTTTCCTTTCATGAACATTCAGACAACATTCACCTCCAGGAGGCCAAAACAAGGGATCCTGCCAAGGCTACCCTCGCTGTGTTGTTAAATTTAGGAAAAAACAATCTATCCAAATGTTTCTAAATTATTATAATGTGCAAAATGTTATAGCTATAAATCTATTTTACCCCTCTCCATTATATTCTTCCAAGGAAACTTCTTGAAAAGCCTCCAAAGGAAACAGATGATGATAAGACCGTGCCAGATGGGGAGCAGATACCAATGTTAAACCTAACATTTAAAATACAAACAACCAGTTAAATTGCTGAAAATGAAGAACAATGACCAAAAACCAAACTGGCAAACCTCCACTAAGATCCTCCCTATCAGTTCCTGGGAACATCAATTTCATACATCATTGTTTAAACTGATGGGCACATATAATAATGGCTTAAACAAAATCATTCAACTGTGCATAATAAATAAATCTGCAATAGCCAAACACTCACTATTCTTTATAATAACGTTCCTTTTTGAATGAAAAAACTGAAGATTTTTTTTTAAATTAAGGACTCTATTTGACCATCTTTCAGGGCTATCAGTTCCTTAGGTACAGAAGAAAGGAACTCTCATTTCAAAACCTAAATTACACTTGAGCTCCAGGAGAGTTACCTCTCACATCTGGTATATTTACTTTGCATATTTTCCCATAACTTCCTAATCAACGCACAAAAGAATTACTGAAGCAAATCTTTAGGCAACAGTGGTTCTTCCCTGAGCTAATCTTCTGGAAAATGCTTGACTTCACATATAAAAGCAGATGTCAGGAGCCAAGTGAGTATTATATAAGTAGGGTAGAGAGGAATCCTTTCTACTGTGTAAGAGAAAACTCAAGAGATACAGGAAAGATTGAACTTTTAGATTTACTTACACCAAAATCACATGGCGGCCTTAGTTCAGTTTCTTCATTTAAAATATAAGAGAACCAAGGCCCGCAAAGCTTACTTTGCTCATCCAAGGTCATGCAAGTAGTAAAGAGCAGACCTATGACTGAAGGCGATCACTCAGATCATCAAAGTAAATAAAGTGAAATTATGAGTAATGATGACTTACCACAGATTTTGCATTCAACTGGAAGTTCAGAGTACTTTGCCCGGCACTGCGGACAGAAGTACCCTCCTAAAGTAAGGCCCGGCTCAGTACTGCTATCCAAATGCCTTGAGGGAAAAAGTTGAAATGATCACTTTTTTGAGTAACAAAGAAATTTTTGAATAATAACAATTTTTTTTCTTTGGTGAGGCAATTGGGGTTAAGTGACTTGCCCAGAGTCACACAACTAGAAGAGTTATGTGTCTGAAGCAGGATTTGAACTCTGGTCCTCCTGACTTCAGGGCCAGTGCTCTATCCACTGTGCCACCTAGCTGCCCCAATAATTATTAAATTAATGAATGTGAATGTGTGTCTCAATGATATACTGTTTTTTTAAATAAAATTTTATTGATAGCTTGTTTTTATATCACCTATATTTCCCAATGCATCTTTCCCCTCACCTCTCCCAGAGGACTATCCTGAATAATAAAGAATAAAAAAGAGGTGGAAAAAAGTTCAGCCAAACTAATCAACATATCAAAAAACTCTGACATTATACATAGCATTCCATGCCCACAGTCCCCCACTTCTGCAACAAAGTGGGAGTAAATGATTGTTCTTGCGGTTCAAACTTGGCTACCACATTTCACTGAATTCAGTTTTGATTGTTTCTTATTATTATTGTTTTTTCCATTCATGTTGTTTTAGTCATGGTATATTTTTCTTTCCTGGCTCTGCTTACTTCATCTGTATCAATTCATATGTCTTCCCATGCTCCTCTGTAATCATCACGTTTTAGAGCCCTATAATATCCCATTATGTTGATGTATTATAATTTGTTTGGCCACTGACCAATTGATGATGCTGTTTATTTTGATATGATGAGGAATTTTAAAATGTTGACTTCCTTAACGTTCAACTATTCTGGAATTTATTCACATCATCAATAACAGCCAAGTATTTAGTAGCAAAATCAACAATTTGGCCAAGAAACTTTTAAATTAATCTTTTCATTAAATTTCACTGTCTTTTGCTTGTAGTACATTATAAAGGATTAAATAATGTGCATTTCTGTCAATGACAAACATTTTAAATCTTTACTTACGCCATGCTGAAAGAAGGTTTAGCATCCTGATCAGACAAAGAGGCAATGGTGTGCTGGGGAAAACCTTCAAAAAAGAAAATGTTTTAATTTCTTTCACTGAATCAAGCAACAATTCTATGATTTAGCTCCTGAATTTTTTCATACAGCCGTACAAAGACAATTTTAGCAAACTTCATTTCTCTGCCTCCTAGACGCCTCCTAGAGATCATCTCCTAGGTAACTAAACATGAGAAAAGGGTCTACATTTCCAATTTCTAACAAAGTTGCAAATAAAAATTTAAGGCAAAATAAAATAAGTAGGGTGATAGGTGTAATTCTGCACACAAAGAGGGGAACTCTAGCTCCCAGGATTCCATGGGGTGGTGGGAACAAAGGAATTGGGCAAAATAGTTGTCCAATGATGAAAAAGAATGGAATGGAGAGGTATTTATTAAGCACTTACTATGTGTCAAGCACTAAGCTAAGTTCTGAGAATAGAAACAGAGTCAGACAAAATGACTCTAAATGAGGGAGACAACACATAAAAGAGGGCTCATTTCAGGCAGACAAAAAAGCCAAGGGGTACTTAGGTTCTGACCTAAGGAGCAAGAAAAATGGAAAGGCTGCAAGTATTTTAAGAAGCAATGGCCCAGCAGATGATCCCCAGACCAAGAAGACAGTGGGTCCAAGGGTCAAAATGGAGATGGGCTCTGGGATAGCTCTGGAAGATATGGAGATGGAAATGGATGGTGTGTGCCTACAAGCACCCAGCCAGGAGAAGACAACTACTGCTTAGTAGGAACTGGAATGTGAATTCTGTGACATGTATTCTCTAAGGATATAAGGGATTTATTCCACATGTCCAAAGACAATCAGTGACCCGTACAATCATTACATGACTTTACTGATAACAAGTAATTCAAGCAAAAAACTGTTTGCCTTTCTTTGAATTATTTAGTTTGTGGGACACTAATGCACCATTGATGGAGCTGTAAAATGATCCAACCATTCTGGAGAGCAATTTGGAACTATGCCCAAAGAACTATAAAACTGTGTATACCCTTAGATCCAACAATACCACTGCAAGGTCTGTATCCCAAAGACATCCAAAAAAAGGGAAAAGGACCTATTTCTACAAAAATATTTATAGTAGGTCTTTTTGTGGTGGCTAAGAATTAGAAATCAAAGGGATGCCTTTCAATTGGGGAATGGCTAAACAAGTTGTGGTATATGATTGTAAAAGAAGATGATTACTGTGCAATAAGAAATGAAAAGCAAGATAATTTCAGAAAAACCTGGACTTACATTAACTGATACATAGGTGAAGTGAATAGAACCAAGAGAATGTGGTATACAGTAACAGCAATACTGTAAGATGAACAACTGTACCGACCTCAGACACTTAACATTTACTAGCTGTGTGACGCTGGGCAAGTCACTTAACCCCAACTGCCTCATCAAAAAAAAAAAAAAGATGAACAAGTAACTATTAATGACTTAGCTATTCTCAGCAATACAATGATCTAAGACAATCCCAAAGGAATGATGATGAAGTCCACTATCCACCTCCAGAAAAAGAAATGATATTGTTTGAATACGGATTGAAGCATGCCATTTTTCACTTTTTCTTTCATTTTATCTTTTACTTGAGTCTTCTTCTACAAAATGACTACTATGGAAATGTTTTACATAATTGCACATGTATAACCTATATCTGATTGCTTACCATTTCAGGGAAGGGGGAGGAGAGGGAGAGGGGACAGAATTTGGAATTCAGAACTTCAAATTAAAATGTTAATACAAAAAAAAAAAAGAATCATCTGATTTGACTAATAAGACAATCAGGAATTCACAGAATAAATGTACAAGTTCACTTCACTTGAGCTGAGTGAATGTAAATGGTGATGAATCAAAAATGATTATTACTTAAGTTATTTTCTCAGAAATTAGAAAATTCTGTCAAAATTCCCTCATTATATTTCACTGTCTTCATTTGAAGGCGTACTTCTATAAAGTAAACTTTAAACCTCATGTATAGTACAACAAATTAAGATTTTAGTTGTAATTTGTACTTAAAAATCAATATGCTACTTTCATGCTTAACATTTTTTAAATAAAGGAAACTGAAAATACTAAAGCTCTTAATGAAATATTTTAGCAAATAAGACTAACAATCAGGAAATTTAAATTTTAAGAATTAATTACTTGACAGATATAATATAATATCACTTTGTGCAAGTGAAGAACTAAATGGCTAATTTGGCCAGGAATACATTGGGAAAGGCATGTCACAACTGAATATTCTATTAATGTGTTCCCTTTACATTATAAATCTATTTCATCAATGTAATGCTATATTACTGTGCTGTCAGAAATAATAAATATGAAGAATACAGAAAAATAAGAAAACTTATAATAACTCATACAGAGTGAAGTGATCAAAATCAGGAAAATATACACAACTACAACAATGTAAATGGAAAGAACAAATACACAAAACTGAACATTGTATTTATAATGACCAAACTTGGCCCTGGAAGAGTTGAGAGCAGAACTTGCTTCTTCGTTGAAACTATGAGTGGCGTACACTGCAAGTACTGTCAGACTTAGCTGATATTTTCCTTAGCTTTGCTGAACTATTTTTTTATAATTCTTTTTTAATCTGTTACAGGGATGGCTTGCTGGTAAGAGAGGACAGAGGAACAAATCTGGAAATGAAGGTGATATAAAAATAAAATAAATCAAAAGGAAGAATTTTTTTTGAGTTAAAACTAATTCCTTTTGTTAAAACAAAAAAAAACCTGATATTTTAAAAATTACTCATTTTGAAGAGTCAGTATTAGAGGGATTGTGGGAAAGTAGGCACACTAATGCATTGTTGGTGGAGCTAGGAATCCACCACTTTGGAATTTACCACTTTGTAAAGCAATTTGGAATTACACAATAAAGTGAATAAAACAGCTACACTCTTTGATCCAGAGATTCTGCTGTAAGGATTTGATCTAGAAATTCCACTAATTAGGAACATATCTCAAGGAAGTATAAAACCCTCATATGCATCAAAATATTTATAGCAACATTTTTGCAGTAGCAAAGAACTGGAAACAAAGTAGACATCCACTGACTTGGGAATAGATAAACAAATTGTGGTAAATTAATATGATGGAATTTTTACTGTACTATAAAAGACGATAAATATAATGAACACAGAGAAGCATGGAGAAACTTACATGAACTAAAAGAGAGAGAAATAAGCAGTCAAGAAAACAATGCACAATAATTACAACAATGTAAATTAAAAGAGTAACCACAATAAAATAATCTAAAATGAATGCTGCAAAATTACAAAGAGACATCGCTACTGAAATCCTTTACAGAAGTGGGAGGTCTACTGGTTTGGAAACTGAATATATTTTCAGAATTTTCTCATGTATTTATTGGCTTTGATTTTTTTCCCTCTTCTTCCTTTTTTTCTTTAAAAAATAATATTTATTATATGGGATGGCTCTGTGAGAAAGAGTAGGGATACTGAGAAATTTGGGCAATATAAAAACAAAAGATAAAAATTTATTTTTAAAAATAAAAATAAGTTGAGAATAAAACTTACCCATACGAATAAGAGAGCATTCAGAACTTGAACTGGCAGGTGGAGGACTAACATGATGTGTTAGGAGTTCTTTATAATGACTTTCATCTAAAATAACATGGTATGTTCCTAAAAATTGGGAGGAAATACAAAAAATTTAAGGTTTAACCATACAATCAAAACATTGTTCCTATAAAATTTCATTAGTCATTTTAGCCATAAAAACATAAAATACAAAATTTGAAATAAAAAAACTTTAGGGTAAATTATTATTAAAAAGACTTTATTTAGATAACTTTCCCATATTGATATCAGCTAGCTATAATATAGCTATAATTATAATTTAGAAAGATCAAAGTTATAAAGAATCTTTTTCAAGAACTTAACATGGAAATTTTTCCTTTCTCCTTTTTATTTCAGTCTCTCTGAAAAACGCAATTTATCATAAAAGTTCCTTGGTTTTGCAAACGGATGATAACCCCTTATATAAACAATGATAAAAATAAGCTGGCTGTCAGTATTTTTGGCTATAAGATATACAGTGCTATCTTAAGTTGAAAAGCCATAAAGTATTCAATGACTTAAATAACACAATTCAAGAAGTTATACTTCTTAAATAGGAGGAGGTGGTGAGTATTCTACATACTTACCACCAGTTTCACGAGCAAGTACAGTGCAAACTCGAACTTCTGCAGACAAGCCGATAACAGACACTCTAATTTTAGCTGCCTTTAAACTCTTCATAAGAAACAAGAAAGAGGGAGTGGTACAGTTATTTCGATGATCACTTAACAGGTATGTTAAATATACAAAATACATAAAGACACTAAGTTTATCTTCCAAGTTGTGATTTTGTTCTACTTTGAAAGCAAATGAGCATCACCTTGATTAGATCATAGATGTTAGATGGATCACAGGTGGTAAGACTGCTAAAGATGATCAGGACTTCTCTACTTGTGTGCCCTGGCATATGTCTAAAGATAAGAGAAAATACACCATGATTGGGAATAGGAAATTATATTTACATAATCTATACCCAGCTAAAAGAGTACAGACAGTTTAAAATTACAGGAACATTAAGGAATGAGGCATTCATTATATGGTGATATCTTAGGGAGACACTGAGGTGATTTCAGCTGTTTTACCCCAGCACCAAATGGTTCCAAATTAATGTCTGTTTCTTACAGGTTTTCTTTCTAATACTTTGAATTCAGCTGTCATTTTTGTGATCAATGGGCCTACATATATCTATTAGATGATTCGACTAGGCCATTTCTAATTTGCTGTACACTGAGAAATTAAATAACCACACTTGTGAGAAATGTTTGTAAAATGAGAAGAATGTTCCAAACAATATGTAATAACATTCATACAGAATTTTGCTTACAAAGCAATTTCCTCACAACAACCCACTGAGGTACTAAGGTGTTATTATTCTCATTTTACAAATGAGAAAAAGGAAGCTCTGAGTGGTCACATAGCTAGTAAATTAAGTGCTAGAAGCAAGATTAAATCCAGGTCTTTCTAACTCAATCCAGTACTCTATAGGCTATACTGTGATGCCTCTGTAGTAAAGCCAGATGATATACATTAGTAACTCCAATTCGAGAGTAACAATGATAATAACTGATATTTCTAGAGCATGTTAATATTTAGAAAGCAATTTGCAGAAATTATTTGATAGTTACAACAACCTGGCATAGTATGTTTTTAGGTACTGCCATCCCCAACTGATGAATGAGAAAACTCAGGCCCAAAGAACTTAAGTGAACTAACAACGGTCACATAGCTGGTGGTGACAGCCTGATCCTGAATCCAGGTTCTGTTCTTTCCCCCATCATCAAAGCCTTAATAAACCCTTCTCACTTGCCTGCTGTCTGCAGAGCACAATGCCCTGGATACAGGACTTAGCTTTAGGAGATGGGTTTTGTGAAGCCTATTTTGGCCATTGAGGGATATTTCTTATTTCCTGATAAATGGAAGATTGGACTATTATGGACAGGTGAGGTTGCCAGATAAGCCAGGTATATATGAGTTCTAGGCAAGGACACTAGGGGAAAAGTCCTGTCCTATATTCAATGAAAGTGAAATCAAATCACCAATTCTTACACTGAATTTCTTACACCAATTGTTTTTAAATATTCATTAGAGTAAACACATTTATTTTGAAATACAGTTAAAATAGCTAATAATTATCCAAACATCTCTAAAATTTGTAGTGAACAAGGTACTTGAATCCTGAAACCTAAAGTGAGGGAAATAAAAAAATTTTCTAATATCACCTCCAAATAGTACTACATAACATAAATACACTTATAGTTCCCCTAGCAATTAACAATATTGTTACAACTATAATTTTACAGACCCAGTCTAGCACTTTAAATCCTTTAATAACCTGCCTAACAATTTAAATTAAATAATAGAACATGTAAAAACACTGACTTTAGTGTCTGCATGGCCAAGTTTAAGGAATTGTAGAGAGATGGCTCTCCATGGCAGGTCATATCTACCGCTTTCTTGAGAGAGGCTATATGCTTCCTTGGATTTCCTAAAATGTAAATGAAATTATATATACATATATACACATACATACATACATATCCACACATCCATGTGCATTAGTTATACAATGAAATCCTATTAAGATTTCCCCCTAAATATCCATGTTGGTACATATGTTGCTAACATAGTAAAGTCTTGCAAGTAACACCTCTCTCAGAAAGCAGAAATTTTTCTTTTACTCTGAAACTAGTTCAGGACAGAGATTCTCTATTTGAACAGCTGATTCTCTGCTTATCTATGCAAGGTGTTAACAAATACTTAACACTTTGATGCTGTTTAGCTGACGCCTAAAATGATGCTAAGGAGGTGTAATAAAGGTACTAAGGATGCTCAGGATGAAGGAAGCCTCATTTGGCCAGGTTAATTCAGTGTGTAGTATGGCTCCTTGGTAATCAAGTATTACAAAAAACAACCTAGCTAACATTAATTAATGATTTGCCTTTCTATCTCCCACAGTACCTACAATAGTGCTTTGTATTAAAGTCATCCAATAAATATTATTGTAACAATTAAATTCTGTCACTTTATCATTTCTAGTTTTTGCAATACTTCATCCCTCAGAAAAATGTAAATGAAAGGTGTTAACATAACAGAGTTCTTAGAATCACACTAGAAGAAAATTTAGAAATCATCTAGACCAGGAATTCTTAACCTTTTTTGTGTCATGGGCCTTTCTGGCAGTCTGGTGCAGCCTGTGGACATTTTCTCAGAACAATGTTTTTAAACGCATAAAACAAAATATATAAAATTACAAATGAAATCAATTATATTGAAACACAGTTACCAAAATAGTTTTTTTTAAATTAATGGATGCCAGATTGAGGATCTTTGTATCTAGTCCTATGCACCTGTTTTATAGATTAAAAAATGAAGACAGGAGGAGTTAAGTGAAGAGGCCAGAGATGAGTTCTAGAACTTAAGTCTCCTCAATCACAAACCAGTGTACGCCACTAAAGTTACTATCCCAAACTGGTCCTACAGAAGTTTTGTCAGGAAATAAACAACAGCTATGTCAGAGAAATTTACTATTTAAGGGAATAGTGAATTTAATCCAAATAAAGTAGCTCACTACTGATAAATGCTGGTAACTGCAATGAAAGGAGTCTGCATATGATGCATAATTTCATCCACTCAAACATTCAAGGTACCCAGCAGGCAACTTGGTTTTATGTAACTTGTGTACTGCACAAATATTCATGTAACCCCACTGCCTAGCCAAAAAAAAAAATTCTTTGTTATACAAGAGAGAAAGTATACAAGGGGAAATTTAGGTAATATAAAAACGAGATGCTGATGCAAAATTATAAAAAGAAACAAAAAAATTTAATCAATTTCAAGGTTAGGCAGTTTCCCTGATTGGTCAACATCATTAATAGTAGCAGTTTAAAAGTTCTTTAATATATGCAAGGTTTTAGAGAACTTGAAAAAATGCATTTAAAGTCACTACACTATCACAGTGACCAACGAGCAGAACTTAGTCTAAGTAAGGTTCACTTAAGTATTTTGTTATAAAGTAGTTTCAGAGGGTGCATCGAGGGCACGAACGTAGCAAATGACAACATCCAAGATCAGGTAAATAAAGAATCAAAGAACTTCAAAGCTGGAAGGAATACTACAAGTCCCATAGTCTAATCTCCTCATTCTCCAGATGAGTACAGAAAAGCCGAGGCAAATGGTGTTGTCTCAGGTCATACAACCAGCACAAAGCAGAGTTATTATTTGAATCCCAACCTCTTGCCTCTTAGACCAATGGTCTTTCTACAGTATCTTGCAAGGGAATGATGATTAATGCGTATGGTTCCTGATGTTTCAAAGCCCACAACCTGATCTAAACAGCAGTGATCAATACAAATGTATAACAAGCAGGACATACCTGAGAGTTCTGTCAGCTTTTCAGCTCTCTTACTCTTAGTTACGATTATCCCAATCTCAAAAATAAATCAAAACCTTCTATTATTCTTACATATTAAAATTTGTTATTGTCATAAGAACTCAAATAAAACAAGCAATTAATTACCAAGAGATTATGATTCAAAGTGGGCATTTGCTTATAACACTTTAAAAAATGTTTATCAAAATTAATTCAGTTATGAGATTCCACTCGATTTACTGCTTAATTCCTGATATGCATTTTTTTCTTGTATTGCTCAGCTCAAGGCAAACACTTGGGACATTTAATAATCCAGGAAAATATGACCTAATTCATAACTGATTTTTTTAACCCTATCAGATTCTTTAAAAAAGACACTAAAAACACCTGATAAATATGGAATTGATTTCATTTGTCAATTACATTTGGTTATATTAATAGCAATCTAGTTTTACTTTCTATCACAGAGGTACATACCTGACTAATAGGATTCTGATCAAAATATTCCTCTACAAAGTATTCTAATAACTGTAAAAATCAAAAAAAACCACAAAATTTACATATTAAACAATACAAATATATCCCATCAAAAGACCTTATACAGAACTTGATAAAGTTCTCTACTAGTGTTCTGAATTACACGCCACTATAGGGTTCTTCAGATTCTTTCAATTCTTTATTTCATTTCCTACCATATAATCACACACATTAACAATTTCTAAGATTTCTAGTTGGTTTGAAATACTGAAATATTCAGAACTAAATGCAAAAAAAGTCATAACTACTAGCTATACTGTAAAATCTATTGTTGGCCCTTAATTATTTTTTTTAACCAAAATTAAATGTTGCAAAAAATATAATAATAAAGCCTGGCCCAGTTTCTCTACAGTGGCTGGGGATCAAGGATATGGAAAACTGAAGTCAGACACGCTTGATTAATTCAGTTAGTTTTGTAGAACTTTTTCCCCCTTTCTTCTTTTAAAATTCTTTATTACATAGGACGGCTTTCTAATAGGGGTGAGGGGAGCAATTCATTAGGAAATGTTGGTGATATATAAACAAAATATATAAATAAAACCTTATTAATATGTCCCTCCTTAAAGAGCTGCCCTCTGAAACAAAGAATAAGAGAAAGAAAAAAAGAAAACTAACCAGCCTATCAATTGAGCTTGACAACAAATGTAATGCTCCACATCCAGAGTTCTCCACTTCTGGACTCTGCATAATGTTATGAATTCAGAGCAGCATCTAATCAAAGTAATTCATCTTCTGATGTATAGATAAGAATTAATTTTATTGGAGGAAGAAAACCCAACTACTCAAAACACATAGCTAAGCATTTCTTAATTACTGGAAGTATATGACTCATTTGTCTTTGTTTTCAGAGAGTAATTTATCATTTCTCCTCACGAAAATGAAAGACTCTACCATTCTGTGATTCTGTGTGGTCTACTATTAATTGCTAAAGATTAATTACATGGATCCTCATTTTTAAAGAAAACTAGATTATGTATTTTTTTTATTTTTAAAATTTATTTATTTCTTCTTAGTTTTCAACATTCACTTCCATAAGCTTTTTTTTTAAGGCAATTGGGATTAAGTGACTCGCCCAGGGTCACACAGCTAGTAAGTGTCAAATGTTTGGTCTGAGGTCAGATTTGAACTCAAGTCCTCCTGACTTAAGGGCTGGTGCCCCATCCACTGCCCCACCCAGCTGCCCCCTCCATAAGCTTTTGAGTTTTAAATTTTCTCCCCCTTCCTCTTCCAATACAAGTGTGCAATTTGATATAGACTCTACATATACATTTATATTAAACACATTTTCACATTAGTCATGTTGTAAAGAAGAATTAGGACCAATGGAGGAACCATGAGAAAGAAGAAACAAAACAACAACAAAAAGAGAGCAAATAGTATGCTTCATAGATTATGTATTTAATGGCAAAGTTTGACACAAGACATGTTTCTGTTTGATTATTTGAAGTAGAAATGCATTATATTTTATTCATGAATGTTTTAAAAAGTAGGATACATAATAATATTTGCTGACAGGAGGTATGGTAATAAAAAGAACACTAGATATACTTACATATGTGACCATACGAAAGTCACCTCACCTTTTCAGGCCTCAGTTTCCTCATCTGTAAAATGGTAGTGATGATGCTTACACTATTTCACTCCCTGAATTATTTTGAGGAAAGCATTTTGTAAACTCGATAAAGCTCTACATGTGTTTTATCATTATTAGAACCTGTGAATCAACTCAAGAGTTTTTAATGTTTTGTACTGTCAGGCTACCACACCAAGACATTTAATAAAATTCTTCACTTTGGAGCTAGTAACATCAACTCTTCTTCAGTTATAACTGTAAGTTTAAATCAAAACTGTGAATTCAAAAGTTGGTAAACTTCCTCTGACTTCTTTCTCAGCACACAATACAGCCCTCTAGCGTTTAAACTTCTTCAAAGGTTATTTCCTTAGATGAATAAAGTCTTATTAATTGAGGCTCTACTAATTTGGAATTCTGGAAAAGTTACATAAGGGACTTACCTAACTTTACCTTTGGATTACCAAATATGTACTATTTGTTACCAAATATTACATTTACCAAATATTACTATTTGATACCAAACTATTACATTACAATATTTACTAACCAAACAATTAAAGTGTAACACCAGGAAAATGCTTGGCTTCCTTAAGATAATAAACTTTCAATCAGGTTAAGACTACACATTTCTAAACTAATACTGAATCTTCTAATTAAATTAAAAGTAAATTTATCTTTTGATTAAAAGAATCAGGTTGACCTTTACTTAACAACACTGCTAACCATAAACTCAGTTCATGAAATTCACATAAATCAACAAAATTACATTTATCAAAAAAGAGTGAGCAATTAAAACTCTGTCTTTTAATCAGTTTAAATTACAGATGTTTTACCTTTAAAGTGCATGTCAGTCTATTAGGCTTTAAGTCTTGGTCTTCCATAGTTCTTGATCCATCTACAACTACATAAAGGTGTCTCATCTGCAAAATAAAAATGGGAAAACTTTAAGAATAAATTCTTAGCTTCAAAAAAAGTTGGCATTTGAAACTCACATTAACCCACTCACAGACAATATAAGAACTGTATTTTTACAAAAACATAACCTAAAAAGTTTGTGGCCATGTTGCTAATTCTACAGGGCCCTTCAAAACCATCTGTATATCATAGGCAAAATACCTATAATAGTGGGCAAAACAAATAAAAACATACCATTCCAAGTCGAACTTGTCCATGGTGCTCAAATACTCTGTCAAAATAGGTAAGTATTTCAGTAGAATACAATGTACTACCATAATATTAATACCACAATACTATGAAACCACAAGAAATATGCCACATTTTAAAAATGAAATAACGTATAGTTAACACTTTTATGACCTCTCACGCTAAAGGAAGACAGAATATCATAATAGGAAGAAATACTGTATTTGATGTCAGAAGAAAACCTATATGACCTTAGCCAAGTAACTAAGGCACAGACTCTTTGAGCTTCAGTTCACTTATCTGTGAAATACGGATAATATTGTACAACCAACCTACCTACCCATCCATCTACTATTGTACTACCTAAAGTTCTTAGGAGAATCAAAAGAAATAATGTACATAAAGTTATTTTATGATCAAAAAGCACTATTTCAATTTGAACTATCATTCCTATTATGTCCTTGTCATGTTAGGACCACATCCCCATTCTAGTCTCAAAGGTCTTCCCTCCTACTCAATAGGCCCTGGGGTAGCTTCTTTGAAACATAACAGAGGTTAAAAAAAAAAAGTTAGCAGAAAGAAGAGGAACTTACTTTAGCACCTTACCTTGAACTCAAAAGAATAAAGAGGAAGAAAATCTGAGTTAAATGAATTTTATTCTCTAGATGGTCTAATTCCTATATTTTTAAGTTAACAAACCAGAATAGTTCAGTTATGGCTTTAAAAGAATGAATAAAAAAGAAAACATTAAGAACAATTTCTTAATATCCTCTGAAAAAATTTACCACTTGGAATATAACCCTTTTCATAACCTTACATTTATTTCAGCATTGTACTATATTTAACAGCTGATGGGTCACCTTCAATAAAACACATGAACTAGCCTTAGTTAGCTCATCCAGGGAGCTCTTTGGAGACTGTTTCTCTAGATTCTAGGAGTTATAGCAAAAGGCTGAAAATAACGAAAAACAATTCTGGAGGAAAAGGAAAAGCACAAATGGGACAGCGGTTTTATAAAGAAAATCTTAGAGCCCAGAAAAAAGCCTTCCGTAGTACTGAATATCCCTTTAACTCCTCATAGAAAGGGACTTCAAAATTTACCCTCTGTGTCAAAAAATAAATCTAAGTAAGTAGCAAACTTCATTACAGATATGTCATGCAATTCTGCTTTATGCAAGGTCACTTTAAAGGGAAAATACGGACTGCAAAGTGTTGTAAGGGACAATAAGACTCTTGTTTTCTTATCTATCAATAAGAGGATGATCTAGTAACTAGATTCTAGTTGAAAACTTTTTAAGTGGGGGCTGCTAGGTGGTACAGTGGATAGAGCTCCAGCCTTGAAATCAGGAGGACCTGAGTCTGGCCTTAGACACTGGACACTTATTAGCTGTGTGACCCTGGGCAAGTCACTTAACCCCGACTGTCTCATCAAAAAGCAAAACAAAAAACAAACAAACAAAAAAAAACTTTTTTAAGTAAACCCTTGGCTTACCTTTTTCTCTTGGCCTTGAAGAGAATGTCTTCTATGGTAGCTTTAAGTGATCCAGACTCATCTTCTTTAAGAATTTCCCTAAAAGCAATAATTATTTGGAAGAAAAAAGAAATGAAGGAAGAAAGAAAGAAAAAAGCTGAAAGGAACAATGATTCTTTAACAAAAAAAAAAAACCAAAAACAACAAGACTGCTTGCTGTCTTCAGGAATGGGGATGGGAGGGAAGGAGGGAGAAAGAAAAAATTTGGAACTCAAAATCTTATAAAAAATGAATGTTGAAAATTGTTGTAATTGGAAAAAATAAAATACTATTTATACAAAAAAAGCAGAACAAAACTAGATGATGTAATATTTACCATGTTCTTTCATAGCCCCCTTCCCAGCGTTTCGTTTTTTCAGGTTCTTCATCCATTTTTCCTTTTGTGAGTTTCAATTATTAAAAAGTAAATACCCTGTAAGACAAAAACATTCAATTTTTATTAGTAGATTTTCTATGTCTGGAACAGTATTTGCCAACCAAACGGAAAAAAGATATTAACAAGGAGAAAAATCTAGTAAGTCATATTTAACTAAGAAAACTGATGCCTTTTGACATAAGGTCACCTTTCTTCCTTTACAACTCAAAAGCTCTTCTATTTTCATTTCCTCCTCTTTCTGTCTGCTTTCCATAGCGGCCCTTCTCTTGTGTACTTGATCCCACCTCCAATGAGATGCTATGTCAATCATCAACTTTCTCTCAAGCATATTAAATTTCTTTCTCTCTCTAGGCTTCTTTCCTTCTAGCTACAAACCTGCTTAGGTATCCTGCTGGAAACAACAAAAACCTGCCTTTAACTCTTCTACCTTCTCATGCTATCATCCTCTTCTTCTCCTCCTTCAAGCCAAACTTCTAGATCATAGATCTAGAGGCCATCTAGACGAAGGGTTCTTAAGCTGGGAATCCATGTGGGGTTAGATTTCAAGGAGACAGATTCAGGGATAATGTGAATGGCGGAAAAATGACATCTTTATTTCAATATAAATGGTTTCCTCTGTAATCCTATGGATTTTCTTTTAGGCATTTAGAAATATTATTTGAGGACTCCATGGCACAAAAAAGGATAAAATTCCTTATCTATGCCAATTTCATGTCACAGACGAGAAAAATGTGGTCCTAACAGTTTAAAGACTTGCCCAGGTTTACACAAATTATAAGTTACAGAGCCATGACTGGAACACAGGCCTTCTGACTCCAAGTGCCAAATGCTTTCTAAATGATGCTAATAAAATAGAATATATATACAATGCTTTCGCTTGCTCATTATTTTTCACTCACTTGACAAGTGGCTTTTGTTCTATCATTAGGAAAACTGTCTTCTTTCCACTACTTTTTTTCAGGCTGCCTTATTCCTTGATGTCTCTGTATATTTTATACTGTTGACCATAAACAACTTCTCAATCTCTTCCTCTTAAATCTTTGATTGTTCTTTTCCCTATCCTGGAAAAACACAGGCATGCTTTAAAGCTTCGTCCTTGATCTCTCTCTACAACCTCTCTCTTTTAGTGATCTAATCTACTGCACAGGTTTCAATTACCACCCCTATGTTGACAACTCCCAGATCTCTATCTTCAGACCCCAATATTAGATCAGCATTTCCAAATGCCCATTAAACATCTTCCTCAACTCAACCAGTTCAACTATAAAACTCAGTATGTTCAAAACAGAATTTAATCTTTGTTCCATGTCTGCCCCTCTAAGAAAGAGAGAAAGACAGAGAGACAGAGACACAGATGAGAAGGAAGGCCAGAAAGAACCATAAGCAAGGCAGTTTTTAAAATCACGTGTTGAATTTATTATATACTTACAAAAGAAAGAAAACTTTACATAACAGAGACTCTAAGTTTCATATTCAATCCTTTCCTTCTGTTCTATGATATATATGGAGCTCATTTTTATCTGCTGTTTTAAGTTCAGAATTTTTAAAAGTTAAAAAAAAAAACTTCCCCTCTCCTACTTGCCTGACTCAAAATCTAAGCATGATCTTTGCCTCTTCTCTCTCCTACCATCCCTATACAGAATCAATTACCAAAGTCCTGTTAATTTTGCCTCTTCAGTTGCTCTCTGATAATTAAAATTCTCTTCTAACTAACATCTCCTCCTCTTCTAATACATCCTACACATCACTGTCAGAGCAATCTTCCCAATGTACAGGTATTCTCTAAAACATTCAATGACTTCCCACACAGCAACCATGGTCTGCACTGGTTTGTAATATAAACCTCATTATACAACTATAAAAGATGCAAAATGTTATAAGTAACATAACCTTAAAAGATAGCAAAGAGCAGTGGAGGAGAAAACAAATCTGTGGAAAGCTTGGTGCAAGACCCAAACAAGTCCGGTTATCTCAGAAGCGTTTACAGATCAAACAGGAAGGACAACAGACGAAAATTATGCAACACACTTGCCAGCATTCTTGCATAAAATTATTTTCATTACTGATAGAACCATAATATTTGGAATAAATCACAAAATAAGTGCAAATAGCTCTTAAGATTAAAGCTGGATCAATCAATATATTTATGTCATAAAGGAAACCCATGCTGGAGGTCATACAATTTTAAAAGCACTGAGGGATCAAGATATGTGAACAGCTTTTAAAAAAGGCCAATATCACCACAGAAAGATAATCAAGAGGACATCACTAATCATTGCCTCTTTCTTCACAGGATTTTAGGAAAATCATCTAAATAAACATGAGAGTATACTTAACAAAAACATGAGAAAAAAACTGACAGGTCTTTGCAATGATTTTCTACATCTCCACTGTTACAGAAACTGACTGAAAAGTATACGGAATGTGAACTCTCACTTTATTAAAAAAAAAACCAACATAGTCACTAGAGAAAAAAATGCAGCTTTATTTAAAAGGCTTTCCTTTTAATAAGTTATCTCCTATGCAACCAATTAACCTTAAAAGTCAGGATCAATCCAATTCAAATGAAACTTCAAAATGAATATAATATAGAGACCAATAGGAAGAAAAATGGTGGGTCCCAGTAGGTTGGACATAGAATCAATAAGACACTTCAAACAGCAGGACTAATAGATATCATCAGTAAATTTTTAATAGGTAGAGAAGACAGGGGGGTCTTGTGGTGAGGATGAAGGATGACAAGTGGAAGCAGGAGTACTCTACTGGTACCTTTGAAACGTCAGAAGAAATGAACGTTTCTAGCTCACCGGGTAGGACCCTCAGTGTGGAATTTATGTTAGGACATGAATAAGAGATGCCCAGAATGGGCAAGCAAATATTCAACCTATATCACTGGAAAGACACCCAGATCACAAAACCATAAATCCACATAATCATCTGAGTTATGAATTAAGTGCTGAAGTGCAAATTGTGCACTGGTACTACACAGATAGCCCTTCCCCATAAGTCACTTGCAAAGGACACCTGAATCCACACAGATGCCAAACACTGACATTTTATTTATATTTAGCTCCAATAATATGTGCAGGGAAGATAATGGGTGAAAGCTAGTTTTCTACATTTGCTGTACTAAAATCAAAATGAAAGATACTGAAACAAGCTGAATGTGGGACCAGAGTCAAGGCTGAAATTTTCATTGCTTCAAACAAGCTTTAAATATCAGAAAACCGAGGAACACTACCAACTATCTTATCACATGGGGATGGGTAGAGGGAAGGGAGACTGGCAGAGTATTCCTGGTCAACAGTTTGGGAACCACTAACCTATTTAGAAAACAGCCTCTAGTGAATTAGGCCAATTCTCTATGTAGGATTTAAGGGAAGGGACAGACAAATAATCACACATACTGAGAAGAAATGTGGATGGACAGGTTGTGATTTATACCACAGAAGTTTTATAATGAGAATGGAAGCAACTAGGTGGCACATTGGATAGAGTACCAAGGCCTGGAGTCAGAAAGACTCATCTTCCTGAGTTTAAATCTGCACTCAGATACTTTAGCTTCATGACGCCAGACAAGTTACTTCATCCTGCTGCCCTTAATTTTGTCATCTGTGAAGTGAGCTGGAGAAGGAAATAGCAAACCATTCCAGTATCTTTGCCAATGGGGTCGTGAAGAGTCAGAAATGACTGAACAACAGAATAGTTTTCCTAAACGAAGTTCTTCTGAAAACAACACCTTATATGATATTTTTAGCAATATCCATAATTCAAAATTCTCCAGAAAGCTGCTAATATCAAATCAATGCCTAGGATAGTTTTCCTTTAACAAACAAACAACTATTTGGGATTTTCCAAGAATCATAAGGTTTAGGGCCAGAAAAGATCATGGCTCACAGTTTTAAAACTGGAAGGGATCTTAGTTGACAGATTAGGAAACTATGACTAAGAAAAGTTAAGTGACTTGCTACCAATCACATAGTGAATGGCACAATCTGAACTAAAATCTTCCCAACTCAAACACGGCACTCACTACCTCAAGGTGGGGACCATCTTCCAAACCCCCTCATTTTGCAAGATAAGTAAGCTGAGGGTCAGGGAGGTTAAATGACTTGCCTAAACACACAAGTTTCAGGGTCTAGAGACGAAACCTTCTCATATCGAAGTCTCTCCCATACACTACACCAGGAAAATCTTATCCATCAAATGATCAAAGGTTCACCTTCTTGGGGTCCCAACACCAGGGGGAACACCCTTGCCAAAGAGTTTTCGGCAACAGCTGGTTGACATAGATAGGTGGAAAAGGAAATTCTAGGTCAGCTTACAATAATACTAATTCGCATTTACATAACGATTTAACACTGCAAAGTGCTGTACACATACTAGCTCGTTTGATCCTCACAAAAACCTTGTGAAGGAGTATGTGACCAGTTTACAAATGAGGAAATTGAGAATGAGGGGGTAAGTGACTTGCTTAGGGTCACACTGCTAGTAAAATGTCTGAGGTGAGATGTCCTGATTCCCAAGTCCATTCATTCAATGCTACAATAAACACCTATTAAGAGCCTCAGTTGGGGCAGCTAGGTGGCGCAGTGGATAGAGCACCGGCCCTAAAGTCAGGAGGACCTGAGTTCAAATTCGGCCTCATACCAAACACTTGACCCTTACTAGCTGTGTGACCCTGGGTGGGTCACTTAACCCCAACTGCCTAAAAATAAATAAAAAATAAAAAACATCCTCAGTGCCAGGCACTGGGCTGAGCACTAGACTCCAGCGCTTCTCATCTCCCTTATTTGTGGGTTCTACCCCAAACCATTCCTCCTCTCTCCAGGAAGTTGCTTCCCTTCCCACCTCCAATCACTCTCATCGCCCAGATTTAAATGACCCACCCTCCTTCCTCTCTTCCCCTAAATCCTACAGACAAATCCTTTCCGGTTCCGGTAGCGGCGCGCCCTCCCTCCTCCTTCCCCCAGGTTCCAACAGTCCTCCCTGCCCCCCACCTCGGGTCAGGCCCCTCCCCTCTCCCGGCGCCCGGGGCGGCCTCCTCTCAGAACCCCTGCCCGCTTTCCTCCTCCTCCTTTTCCTCGTGCTCCTGCTCCCCTCCTTCGGCGAGCTCCCCAGACCCCGGCCAGAATACTCACCGCGGCGCCGGGGAAGGCGGCGGGCCCCAGAACAGCACGGAGTGATACGACCACCCGGGACAACTCGGGATTCCCCGAGTGCGCATGGCTACGGTGCTCCGCCCAAAACCTTCCCCGCCACGCCAGGCACGCCGCTCCGGCGAAGAAACGTTCCGGCGGCGCGCAGAGATTCCGGAACGCGAAGCGTCTGCTCCCCGCCAGGTGGCGCTGGATGCTGAGCACGGCGGGGCGCGTGGAGGTGGCTCAGCTGGGAGAGGGTGCGCGAACCTCGAGTGCAGAAAGAGCGAAGGGCTGCCCCGGCTTTGCTTGCGAATGCCATTCAGTTAACTATGGCCAGCATTTATAGAGCGTGCTAAGGTTTACAAAGCGCTTTACAGCTCCTCTTTCATGTTTCATCCTGTCATAGTTCATTATTGTTCAGTCGTGTCCTAACCCTTCGTGACCCCATTTTGTGTTTTCTTGGCAAAGGTACTGGAGTAGTTTGCTGTTTCTTTCTCTTTCATTTTACAGATGAGGAAACTGAGGCAAACAGGATTACACAGGGTCACAAAGCTAGAAAGTGCCTATATTGCATTGCTATCTCCACTTTACTGGTAAGGAAACAGGTACCTGATAAGTGTCTGAGGCTGGATTTGAACTCATGGTTCTGAACTCTAAGCCCATTGCTTTCTGCACTGTGCAGCCTACCCCAAAGGTCAAGAAGATCTAGGATTTTCCAGTGTGGCAGCCCTGGACTTTAGCAGCTATTTTCATTATCTTTTAAATTGCTGGTTGTTTCAGGAGGAGCAGAGCTAACTCACTCCCCTAGCCCCAAAGGAAAAAAAATTAAGAGTATAGGAGGTGCAGCTGCTTGGCCGAAGACTTTGTCCCAGCCTTGTCCTTGACTCGCAGTTGCAGGTGGGGTGAGAAGGAACTAGTCTAGGAGGACGCCAACAGGCAATCCAACGGCGACGTGATTGACATAATGCAGGCTTGAGCCCCACTGGGAAAAGACAGTGGGAGGGAGAGTGGACATCTGGAATACTGAAACCTGGCTCTGCTACTGTGTGACAGTAGGCAAGTCACTTAACCATTCTGATTCTGGGTTTATGTTCAAAAAGGGGATAATTAAACTACCAAGAGGCTCAGGACCTAAGCTCAAAAGCAGCCTCTTACTTACTGGCTGTGTGTCCCTGGGCAAGTCACTTAGCTTCTGTCTGCCTCAGTTTCCTCAACTGTAAAATGGGAATCATTATATAACACCTGCCTTCCAGGGTTGTCGTGAGGATCAAATGAGATAATAATCTGTAAAGTGCTTAGCACAGTGCCAGGTTCATACTAGGAAGTGCATCAATGCTTATTGTCTTCTCCCCCTCTACCTGTCTCCCAGGGTTGATGTGAGGTATGCAATTTGTAAACATTAAAGGAGCTGATCCATAGGGGTTATCAGTCTTTCTCTACCCCCACTACCCCCAAGATAGCCATAAATGTGGCAGAGGAGAGTTGGGACCTGCCTGGATGTTATGGAGATAAAGACAGAAATAAAGAATACTAGAACAGCCTAAGGCATGCCCAGATTTGGGGAGAGATGGAAGACAGAGCAGAAAAGGAGATAGATCCCTGAAGGCCCTGGGCTTGAGGATCTTAAGCATCTCTGCAAGGGGCACTGCTCTGTCCACCTCATCCCATTTCCTCTAATCTGTTATGTATTCTCTTCTTGCTTTTAATTTCTTTTCCTTTTCTATATCCCTTCGTGCAGAGGCCTGGATCAGTTCTATCTTAAGTGTGTCAATTCTGTCTCATATAAGTTGCTATTTTTAACATAACATGACCTTGCGCATTTATGGTTTCCTCATTTATGAATACTTATACCCTCTATAACCTCTTTCAGTTGAAGCCTTTTACTAGAGTGGAAGCTATTGAGGGAATGAATGCTCTCCCCTGAGAGGACCCTGGCTCCTGCTGCCAGGATTAGAATAAATATATTCATGAGAGCTTTTCCCACAAAAGCAGTATTATAAATAATAGTGTCTAGCACAGTACCCTGGATACTAGTGAATCAAAAAGCATCAAGAATCAGGAAATGCAGGGGCAGCTAAGTGGTGCAATGGATAGAGCGCTGACCCTGGAGTCAGGAGGACCTGAGTTCCAATGTGACCTCAGACACATAATGCTCACGAGCTGTGTGACTCTGGGCAAGGCACTTAACCCCAACTGGCTCAAAAAAAAAGAAAAAAAAGAATCAAGAATTGCTTATTAGGTGTCAGGCACTCTGCTTCACTGTGGGGAATCAAATACAAAATTGAAATAACCAGCTCTCAAGAAATTTATATGATACTAAGGAGCTAGGTGATGAAGTGGATAGATTGCCAGGCCTGGAATCAGGAAGACCTGAGTTCAAATCTAGTCTCAGACACGTATTAGCTGTGTAACCCTGAGCAAGTCACTTAACCTTGTATGCCTCAGTCCCTCATCTGTAAAATGAACTGGAGAAGGAAATGACAAACCACGTTGAGTATCATTGCCAAGAAAACCCCAAATGGGGTCACAAAAAGCAGACACAACTGAACAACAGGGAGCTACATGCTCAGTTAAGTAAATATAAGATACTGCATATATAAACTAAACATGAAGTGATGGGAGTTAGGGTGGGGAACAATAGAGAGAATAAGGAAGTGCAGCTTTAGCTGAGCCTTGAAGAGAGCAAATAGGGTTTTTGTTCTGTTTTGTTTTGTTTTTAGGCAATCAGGGTTAAGTAACTTGCTCAGGGTAACACAGCTAATAAGTATCTGAGATCAAATTTGAATTTAGATCCCCGTGACTCCAGGGCCAGTGCTTTATCTACTGAGCCACCTAGCTGCCCGGAGAGCTAGCAGGTTGGTTGGTTGGTTTGTTTTTTAGTTAATTTATTTTTAGTTTTCAACATTCACTTCCATAAGATTTGCAGTCCCAAATTTTTCCCTATCTCTCCCCTCCCCCCACTCCAAGACGGCATGCAATTTGATATAGGGTCTACATATACATTCATACTGAACCTATTTTCACATTAGTCATGTTGTAAAGAATTAGAACCAAAGGGAGAAAACACAAGAAAGAAGAAACAACCCAAGAAAAGGGCAAATAATACACTTCAATCTGTATTCAGACTCTATAGTTCTTTTTCTGGATGTGGAGAGCATTTTCTGGCATGAGTCCTTTGGAGTTGTCTCAGATCCTTGCATTGCTAAGAAGAGATGAGTGTAGCAAAGTTAGTCATCCCACATTGTGGCTGCTACTGTGTATAATGTTCTCCTGGTTCTGCTTACTCACTCCGCATCAGACCATTCAAGTCCTTCCAGGTTTTTCTGAAGTCTGCCTGCTCATTTCTTATATCCCAACAGTATTCCACTACATTCATATACCACAGCTTATTCAGCCATTCCCCAACTGATGGGCATCCCCTCAATTTCCAATTCTTTGCCACCACCAAAAGAGCTGCTATAAATATTTTTGTACATGTGGTTCCTTTTCCCATTTGCATGATCCCTTTGGGATTCGGCCCTGGGAGTGCTGAGTCAAAGGGTATGCACATCTTTATAGCCCTTTGGGCATAGTTCCAAATCGTTCTCCAGAATGGCTGGATCAGTTCACAACTCCACCAACAATGCATTAGTGTTCCAATTTTTCCACATTTTCTCCAGCATTTATTATTTTCCTGTTTTGTCATGTTAGCCAATCTGATAGGTGTGATGTGGTACCTCAGAGCTGTTTTAATTTACATTTCTCTAATCAATAGTGATTTAGAGCTTTTTTTTTTAACTTTAGGTAGTTGACTTGCCCAAGGTCACACAGCTACTAAGTGTCAAGTGTCTGGTCTGAGGTCGGATTTGAACTCAGGTCCTCCTGACTCCAGGGCCAGTGCTCTATCCACTGCGTCACCTAGCTGCCCCTTAGAGCATTTTTTTTATATGACCACAGATAGCTTTAATTTCTTCATCTGAAAACTGCCTGTTCACATCCTTTGACCATTTATCAGTTGGGGAATGAGTTGTATTCTTATAAATTTTACTTAGTTCTCTATATATTTTAGAAATGAGGCCTTTATCAGAGATACTAGTTGTAAAAATTCTTTCCCAGGTTTTTGCTTCCCTCCTAACCTTGGTTGCACTGACTTTGTGCAAAAACTTTTCAATTTAATGTAATCAAAATTATTTTCTCTCATTTGGTCATAAATTCTTCCGTTCTCCATAAATCTGACATAAATCTATTCCTTGGGAGAGCTGGGAGTTTTAAGAGACCAATGTGAGGATGGAAAGCTTTCTGGACCCATGCAACCTGTGCAAAGACAAAGGGTCAATCACTAAACATTTATTTTTGTGTTGGTTCTTCACTGTGGTTTCAGAAGATTTTTGTGAGCTCCTGTGGGAACCTAATTCCCACGGAAAGCCTTCTTTCAAGGGGAATAGTTCTCAAAGTCCAACGATGCCTTCTCCAGGCCTCCTTGATCTTGGCACTTTCCCTCTGAGACTCTCTCTGCTTCATCTTGTCAGTACCTCATTTGTACTGGGTTGTTTCCACGTGCCTCCTCTGAGCTCCATGACAGCAGTGACAAGGTTTTGCTTGGTGGGTTTTTTGCCTTTCTTTCTATTGCCAGTGCTTAACACGGTGCCCGGCACAGTTTATTGTTGCTGCTGTTGAGTGACCTCAGCCAGTGTCCTACACTCTGTGATGCCATTTGGGGCTTTCCTGGCTTGCCACATAGTAGGCACTTAATCAATGCTTGTTGACTGAGTATCCAAACAAACCAAGTGATAAATGAACTTGGTAAGTTAGAGACTAGCTGTATGCCCAAAGTTTACCTCCCTGGGAAAGTCAGATGCTTCTCTCCACCCCTTCCCTCCTGATCATCAGCACTAGATCCAGAGCAAGCCCCACCTAGTAGGAAGTCCTTCCTAACACAGTTTCACACCTGCCACTCTTAAATAATTGTGCCTAAAATGGGCAGGATCAAGTAATGAAAAATGATTCAGTCAAAGGACTTTCAACTTGTGAAATGATTCAAAGTAAGTTTGAAAAAATATATATAAGTACTTTGTCCAAGAGACCCAGCCCATGGAGTTGAGACACTTCAGGTACATTGTCACC